TACGTTTCCACTAGTCCAACGCTAGTCGGAATTCATAGAATGGGCTAGTCCAACGCTAGACCCTTAGGGATTTCCCCTCGTTAGTACATGTTTGCATGTTCATTACATGTCATGCATTCTTTTAGTTTTATCATTTTGCATGCCCCTCGACCCCCTTTTCCCTCCATTTTAGGATTTTTGCATTTCATGCTAGTTATAGGGTTCATTTGCTTGAGAGTCCCCTTAAATATGGGATATAGACGAGTGTGGCTTTTTCTAAGCCTTAGCACGCTTGTATTCCCTCTATAAAAGGGTAAATTGAGTCACGATTTAGGTCTCCCCGTGCCCAATATGCATGCGTTCCCTAGGCTCATGCATTCTAAATCCACTCTATCATTACACTTTCACTTTTCATTCCATTTGCACACATACACCTTTTATCCCTTCACTTGCACACGAACACTTTTGTTCCATTTTGCACACGTGCACCTTTATGTTTCTTCACTTGCACACGAACACTTTTATCATCACTTGCACACATGCACTTCATATTATCATTTCACATACCGTACCTTGCCCACTCACGTGCACATTTTCCTTTACATATTTATTGTTTTTTTATTACTTTTTCAAAACTCATGTCCTCACATTGCATACATGCATTCCATTCATTTGCATCCCACTCGCATTATTCGTGACTTCTTCAAAGGATCGTCATTGGGCTTCACAATTAATGTGATTGGCACCACTCAACCTTTGAAGAGAAATTTCCCCCAATACCCCTAGGTCTAGGGTTTGCATTCATGTAGTACATCCAAATGTAATAAATTCTTTGATTAAAACAAGAAAATCTTTGATTAAATCAAGCAACTAGCCTTGGCTAGGTCGAAGGGGTGCCTTGGATTTTATCCTTGCCTTCCCCTTCGTCAAATGTGACTCCCGAACCTTTTTCGTTGGTTTACGTGGACTAGGAGTCGTTTAAAAGGGGTTTCTTACTACTTTTTCCTATTTTTCTTTAAAAATTCATTTTTAGGTGACTTGGTACACCTTAACTCATTACCAAGTGGCGACTCCGATTTTTTATTTCAAAAAACCCTTTTTAAACTATAATTTTGGGTCAAATCGTCGCATTCTCAAACCCCCATTTAGACCCATTTTTCTTTTAAATCACAATTCATTTTCCAAATCACAAATTGAATCAAAAAATACATTTTTAAACCATTTATTTATTTTATCAAAAAATGGGGCGCGACATACATAGCATCATTTAAAGGTAGCTTCTTCACTAAACTATGTATGAATTGCTCATATTTTACTACAACGAACTAAGATTGGAATAAATTTAATTCTATATTGCTTCTATTCATAAGTACTATTTTTTTTTGGGGTTTTAGTGTCTAACTTTGCGTGAATGGTAGAGATTTAAGTAAGATTATAGTGTTTATGTATAATTGTATACATATATGTATCCATGTATGCCTATGGAACTTTGATATTTGTATATCTTTATGGATTTGCATGAATAATTAATCGAAGATTGAGTAGTTGAAATCATACAAGTTGATAATGGTAGAGATTTAAGTAAGATTATAGTGTTTATGTCTAATTGCATACATATATGTGTCAATGTATGCCTATGGAACTTAGATATTTGTATATCTCTATGGATTTGCATGAATAATTAACCGAAGATTGAGTTGTTGAAATCAGACAAGTTGATAATGTTGGAAATCTTCCTTCTTAAGAAGAAAGTTTTCTATTCTCTTAATTTGATAGGTTATATACTACCTGATTTCTTCTTTTTTTTTTTCTAATTGTGCTTCTAAAGCTAGTAGCAACATTAGATAAGTTGTGTTGCAAAATTTGGTCAGGATGAAGAATCTACAGGATTATAAACTATAATTGTTTAATCAAAAGTCCAAATTAGGGGTGGCAATTCGGGTCGAAATCAGGTTGGCGGGTCGGGTTCGGGTCAACCCGTCAGAAAATCTGTTGACCCGAACCCGACCCGTCAACCCGTGACGGGTCAGGTATGCTGACCCGAACCCGAAAATTTCAGGTTGGCGGGTCGACCCGAAATGACCCGAAACTTAATTTTAATTTATTAATTTATCACTGTAATTTCTAATAAAATCAATTTCTCACAAAAACTAATTACATAATCAAGTAATAAAAATTTAAATAAATAATTCCAAACCAAATCTAAAATAAATTAAACACCGTAAAAGTGTTTTATCCCAAACAAAATATAAAATAAATTAAAACAATATAAAAGTAAAAAATAATATAATATATTATTTGTCCAAATATAATAATTTCAACTTCACACAAATTAAATAAATTCATTTAGGATTAAGTAATTAATGCCTTTGAAAAAAAGAATAACTTAGTTTAGTTAGATAAAATTATTTTTATGTTTATTAAATTATTTTTAATTCGTAAACGGGTCATATCGGGTCATATCAGGTCACCACGGGTTGACCCAAAATCGACATGTTTTCTTTTCGGGTTCATCGGGTCCAACCCGATTCTGACCCGAATTCCCGAAACCTCAACCCAAACACATTAATTTCGTGTTAGGTTCGTGTCGTGTTTTCAGGTCGTGTCGAAAATTGCCACCCCTAGTCCAAATAAATGTTTAAGAATTTCAAAACAAATTGATAGGGAAGAAAATTTTAGATTTTAATCTTGAGAGATGTATAGGACTGGGGGAACAAATATTGCATAAGATAAAGTTACCCTCAATAAAGCATAACATATACACATTTTGTATTTGTAAGCACCAAGCTTTTTAGTTGATCTTAAGCTATTTTGCAAAATACTAGAATATCATATATATATTCATTTATCAAGAACTATAAGAATATACAATCATAAGTGTGATATCCTCTTTCAATGACCTATTGTTTTTGTTGAGTTGAAGTATTAAATGCAAATTACTTGTGAATGTCCTATTATTTTTTACTAAAATCCATCAATGCTAAGACGAAGAGTGGGAGTGTGTCAAAACTAGGCCATAAACTCTTAGCTTGTAAGATATTTGATTGACAAATTGTGTAATACAATCACACTTAGTTGCATAATCTGTAATCTCTCAGATAATTTTTCTTTGTAATAGTTATACTACCCTTAACATATAACAATAGGTTGCAAAATAAATCCTCCTCATATGTATATGGCTGCTAATGAATGAAAGATAAGATTATGAATTTTAAGTTTTGTGCTTTGCATAGACCCCAAAGTTATAACATTTATTTGACTAATTTTTTACCTAAGTGAATAATAAAAGATCAGCATATAGTCACGAAATTTGTAAAGCACAAGTGGTCTCAAGTTCAAATTAAATATATTCTAAGTATGTAGCAAATTAATTCTTTAATTTTGTGCAGTCCACACATAAATAAAATGTCTTAGTTAACCATTTGTTGTAGAAAATGTAACATCTAAAATATTTAAAAAGCAGCCATTCACTTATAAAGTTTTTGAGTAACAGTAATTGATTAAAAACATAACATAAAAAAGTCAAGAGTCAAAAATTTTATAAAGATGACTTTTTCTTCCTCTTTTTGATTATAAGTATTTACACTTCTTTAACATAGAAAGTAGTTCTAGCTTTAGCTTACAATAGTTGATTTATAACATTGAGTTTAAGTTTCATTTTTTTTTTTGGTAATATATTCTGAAATACCTGAAATAGTTAAAGCTTTTTTGTTATCTTACTTTCTTTTAAGACATAATTTGTCTGTTACATTTTGGGGAGAATTCGTCACGTGCACTGGACATGACCCTCAATGCTAGAATCACTAAAAGCAACAATTGGAGCAGAATCTTTTCCTATGATCAGCATGCAACACCGATACACTAACAAGACACAAGCACCAATATAATAACGGGGTACGTTTGCTCTTTTTTACCAACATTTCATCACTAGAACACAGAAGTTGGTAACAGAATCGACCAATACCTGTTACTAATCTATAACTTCACCATCGACCAAGTTATGATTACAAAATCCTTAAATTAGTTATCAAATGTTGTGGCCCGACTTGCACAGTTAATGTCCTGTAATGTATGTAAACACTGTAAGAGACAGTAGAGAATTTTCAGCTTTAGCTGGCACATAAATAAGAAATATTAGATTCAGCTTTATTTCGTAGTTCTTTCTTCTCTTTGATCAAAGCATTCATCTAATTGAACACCAAAGCTTTGTTAAGCTTTCCTCTAGTTTAAAGATTGCAGTCTCGTGCATGTACAATGAAATAAATATTTGAATTCTTCCATTTTGTGAACTCATTTCATTTGACTGACTAAACATACTTTCCTAACATACATAGTATTATTTTCCCAAGCGAGGCTCACGATCATTACAATGCAGATATCTAAGTGGGCATCCAAATCTGGGATAAGGTGCAGAGATTATGTTTGTTATACAGAAGCCCGTACCCTGGAATCAGGAAATGGAATGGTGTTGTAAACATGCACATGGGAAATCTTTTTCGTGCAAAGCTTAGAAGGTTGGTGATAGCTGTAACTGTATGGCACCAGTGGTAGGAAAGGAACAGGAGTGTTTCAGCACGTTGGTGTCACCAATGTTATTCAGTTCTCTGTTGTATCTTGGCCTAAAGCTCCGCCGGAATCAGGAAAATTGGCAGCTAACGGTGGAGTCGGACTTGAATCCGGACTGCTTACATGATTGAGCTAAAGTACCGTATAGGGGACCCCTTTGCATTGCTATAGTTCAGAAGGTTGTGTACAGTGTGTTTGTACACTAGTGATGCTTGTTGATGCATTGGGGTGATATTCCTTTTGTAAAGCTTACTTTCTTGATCACTCAAAGTTCTCATTATGCCCAAAAAACAAAACAAAAACAAAAAAAAAAAAAAAAAGTGGGCATCTAAATCTTTGTGCATGCCAAATCTCCACCATATATACGGTAGTCTGCAGTTTTGCAACCCCTTCCCCTCTCTCCCCCAAACAAACAAAACAACAATAGAAGTGAAAAATGGAAGCATACACGTTCCTGAGTTAAAATGGAGAGAGTGGCATTTAGATGCAAGGATCAACTGCAAAATTTCTGCCAAGATAATACAACGAACTAGCACATTTATTGCCTGTATTCCGAGTTTTATGATAAACTTGCCTGGTGTCAATATATGTCGCCATTCAACTGAAAACCAAGTTAAACCTGTGTTGCATTAAGTAGGACTTCAAAAGAACTCGTATGCAAGACTGTCAAAAGGCTGTAAAAGATGTGCCTTACAACCAAAATTGCAATTGGAGATGACAATCATCTCCCATAACGTTAACGATCTGCCAAATCCTGCTGTATTCTCCACTTTAGCTCTGCAGCTGATCTTATAAAAAAGAGGACACGAACCAAAAAAATTCTTGGCAGTGTAACTCATGGGTGCAAGGAATAATTGGTGCATTCTGCAGAGAAGAACTGCTCCGCTCTATCAATAAATCTTTCAGGAAATCTACAGTGCAACATTGCAGCAGAAGTTTCACTTGTGTATGGGTTGTGCTTTTGGCCTGTTTCTTCAGAAAGCTTCCCGACTCTACTCTCTCTTTGAATCCGCATCTTAATAGTTTTAATATTGTTTGAAGGTCCACCTTTCTGGGACAGAGTCCGAGCATTGCGGTTATTGGGGCGCTGAGATCTCTGAGGAGGAGTGTCAACTTGAGATTTTCTACACTCAGGACCCAAGTGATTAGATTCACCAGCTTCATCCGGAGTGTTATCTAGCACTGCAATAGATTCAGCAGGAGCTGGCGAACTGTTTCTGCAGGACTTGAGCAAGGAAATGAGCATATCTGTGCTGAGTTCTTGAAGAACAACAGTCTTGTTCTGCTCACATCCAAAGCAGGCAGCAACCAGTGTGCCAGCCAAGATTGGCATAAACTCGAGATCACTGAAGAAAACAAATGGCAAGTCGCACACCTGTAGTTTCAGCTTCATAAATTAGATTCCATCATTCAAATCTGAAATTTGTGTTAATCTCATTCAAGTTCATTTACCTTGTGAAGAATGGTAGGGCTCTTTCCCCAGCGAAGGACAGCTTGATTCTCGGAGTGGAAAAGTGAAAAGTAACCAAGAAGCAACAAAGATTCCACCAGCAATTGACCAATCTGACATGCACAAACAAGCAAACTTTTTGAAATTTCACCTTTTTATATACGCAAATGGATATGATAGTTCCACTGATCAGTTAAGCAAGCAATAGCAAGGGAAAGACATCAGATTAATTACAGACAGAAAAAATAGCATTAAGAAAATTCCACAAATCCACCAAACTGGCCCCACTAAAACCTAAGAAGGAAAAAAGAGGAACGGAGGGGCACAAAGGAGGAGTACCTGACAGTTAACTTGTTTATGTTTAATAAAGGTGCAAAATGCAGTGGCAGGGTTACTGGATAAAGAATGGGAAAAAAGACAAGTACATGGCTAACCCAGGAGAGCATGAAATACAATCATAACCACTTACTCCACTCCATGTTGACCAATAGAAACAAATATGAGTTTTGCAATAGCTTACAGTGCTATTAAGACATTTCAAGAAAAAAAGTATAAGTCCAGATGCAACATAGGAAGATCCTTTGTCCTTTCGTTCTCTTTTTCTTTTGTGTGAGTCAATGAATTGTGTTGGCAGTATCTCATTTTCTGCTTTCACGAAAAGCACTAACACCAAAGAAACTATCTAAGAACAATTAATACTGATGCAAACTTCTACAATTCTTTGGTAAGTTCTTGCATCTTTCTAAAGGTGACATAAAGACAAAAACCAAATAACAATAATGTTAGCAATGCAACAAAAACCACGTCAAATACCCACTATTCCAAGCAATATTAACAAATAATGAATAAGCATTTTTACAAGAAAACTTGAGACCCTGTTACCAGTAGGACAACAGAATCTTGAGTTAAAAAAAAACAAATTGACAAGAAATATTGCATCATAATAAAAATCATAATTTGCTAGAACAGCTTGTACCAATGACATGCAAAGCTATTGAAGTATAGTGGTAACCAAAAAAAAAAAAAAGCTCATAATAAACCTACTTAAGAAAGTAATGACAATATGCCCAGGGCATAATTGAAAGAAAAAGAAATTAGGAAAGAGCAAGCAACTGTTCCTCAGTAACTCTGACAGCCCACAATGCATGAAGAGCAACGGCCTAAAAGGTCACTAAGTTTTTGAGCTGCATGCATAGTTTCTGACCATGAAAGACTGCAATAAAACCTGTTGGTGCCATGTAAACCATAAAACCACATCCAAATGCAACAACCAGCACACCTAATAAACATTTTGATGCCAAAATTTGGAGTGAAGGATACATATAGTCTCACCTGATCGGTAGCCACTCCCCATTTGCTTGTGCAATGAGAAAGAAGAAAGCTCATCAAGTGAAAAAATTCCATTTTCAGATCTGGTCTGGCCTGTTATGTGCAGGAAAAGATGAAGGATCAGGCTTGATTACAGAGGAAATAACGTGTTTGAGGACTAACAAAGACAAGCTGTCAAGAAGGCAAGCCAAGAAAACCATTCTAACCAAAAAAAAATTTTCAGAACGCATACTCACTAGCATACTCTGGATGAAAGTTACATCAATTAGTGCCAAATTATTCAACACCTTTAGTACCGCAGTTGCCACTTCCTCAAAATTGGAAGGAAGAACATATGAAACCTGCAAAAACAATCATTCATTCTCGATTAGCATGCCAAATAGAGAAATCTTAGAGCTTTATCATGCCCACAAGAAAGGCAAAACTTCAACCAGAAGACATTTCGGCTTCCATGGTTTTTCAGCCAGTAATTATTAAAGTTTAGAAAGAGTCATAAAAGATGGTTCGATCCACTTGAATATTGAGCTCAGAAAGAACAAGCTATAGAATAAACAGATAAGCTTAAATAAAATATTAGTACCAGAATATCTAAACAAGAATAGTTAACTCCAAACGAAAATGCTACATAGGCAAAATGAGCAAGTAAGCCAATTAAACATCTTAATTTTATGTTTGTTTTTCACCCCAAGCCCCTTTTTTATTTTTGGCATTAAAGATTATCTTCTAAGCCCCACAAAATTCCTCCTCAAAGATAACCAAGTTCACAAGAAGCATTCATGCAGATATTATTGCTTAGATAGCTTGCCAAGTGTGGTGAAGCATGGTTGTCAAAACATATCATCCTAAACAATTAGAACAGCTAGATCTTAAAGTGTAACACGCACTAGGTGCATTTGGCACTACAAGCATTAACAGACAATTAACAGTGGCATAAAAACTTATTTTCATTTTCAAAATAACTTCAGCAAGAATTAGATGTTGTGGTAAAAGATCAAAAACTTTACGAAGGCCCCGGTAAAAACATTAATTCATGTAACCCTCTTAAGATAACTTAGACGACTTCAACAATAAGTTTGCTGAAGGAATAGAAGTTCCAAAGCAACTTTACGCTACGATTCTCTATGCAACATTACATTGATTCTAAATCTCAAATGGGGAAGGTTTCCCACTATCAGGAAGGTATCTTGCTGGATATAAGCCCCAAAGGAATACACCACAGACAATTGCTTTCATACTTTTCCTTGTTTTAGGCAACAAAAAGTAAGGGTGTAATTTTCAGCTTTTAGTTGCAATTTTGGAAAAGAACTGTAAAATATTATATTTCTCAAGAAGATGATACCTGTTAAGTAATCAAAAATCCCTACTAGATTCAACTCACAATCACATGGGATATCAACTCACAATCTGCACATTTTGAAGACAAACTACATACAACACGGTTTTTATTTGATGCATGGCCCTTCCATGAATGCCAACTAGTATCAACAAAGATGAGTTACATTTTCACCACCTATATACTGCAAAAGAATCACTTAAAATTTTTGGGATTTTATGCAAACCAAAAGACCTTTTGTGAAACTTGTCATGCCAAATCCAAACTGCCGGCATGACCAAAGTGTCGTACAGACTTGTCATGCCCCAGTACAAATCTGACCGACATTTGTGCTTACTACCAATGGCTAGGAAAAACACAATTATTAACAGCTAATTGGAATTCAAACTCAAAACAATGAACCCTCAACCTTGTCAGCAATTATGCAGATTTAATTGGAATTAAGTAGATCTACTTCTGCACTTTGAAAAGTGCAAAGGTCTTACCTGTTCAGAAGATAATTTGTTGTTGGCCTGCAAAAGCACAGCTGTCAACATGGAAGGTAGGCAGACCAACCCAGTTTCAGATATTGCAGAAAGGAGAAATGCTACGGGTTGTTTCATATTAGATCTGATTTCGTCCTTTTGTTCGGTAACCATAATTGTTGACTTCTCTTCCTCCTTTAAAGAAACAGGACTATTAGTATTATCATCACACTGGATGCTTGGGGACTCATCCTTAACATCTATAACATCTGTCTTAGTGTTAATAGATTCGACTACACCAAAATTATCCCTTTTGTCTGATGAACCACCACCATCAAGCAATGCATCAAGTGGCTTATCTTCTGGTACATCAGGTAACCCTTTCAAAACTACAGCCTCAGCCACTTTCACCCCTACACTCCCACTTATGCACATCATCTCCCTAGGAAACGATTCCCAGTCTATTGAAGATCCTTTTCTACATCTGGATGTCAGAACTGCCAATAGGTTAATGCTAAGGAGGATGGAAGAAGGAAAGGGTGAGCCTTCTATATGGGGCCTATCATAAAGAGCAAAAAGGTCCCGCAGCCGATGAATAACCTGGTATGCGATCACAAGCTCTAATAAACCATCTCGCATCTGGATTTGACGTTCATCAGAGCTTACATGACCCATAATTGTAGCAACAGTCCAAAGAAAACCATCCAAAATTTCACATACGGACTCCAGATTACCACTTGATGATTTACTCAACATCAAGCTTGTGGAACCAGGAATATTTGCTGATGCTGCAATTTTAATATAATTCTCAAGTGCTGCAGCCAACATGGGGATTATAGGTGGTAAGAGATTCTGTGAAAGAAAATAACTTCGATTACCAGGCACTGTTAAGACTACCCTAAGAAGCCTTAAAAGGCACAATGTAACCTGGCAGGCTTCAGGTTTTGATGTGTGAGAGGCAGGAAGAGCAGAGGCAATAAAATCAAGTAGACCAGCTTGGCGACAAGCCTGCAGCTCAGTATCCCTTCCCTCCAAGAACTAATCCATGAGAAAAAAAATCATGGTTACTTTTGCCTCTAAAACTATCCAAATAACTAACAAGTAACAAATAATAACCAAAGGCAGATAAGAGATACAATCAAAGAAATGAACAGGACTTTCTCCAATATGATCTGGCGAATGATCCAGTTGTCTACTTGACCTCTTATCTTTAGACAATCAAAGAGATTATAATATGAGAACTCATACACAAAGACAAACTCAGTACCTTAATTATTTCGGCGGTTATAAGACCAAAACTTCCAGCACCTTCTTTTCTTGCTTGCCGAAGCTTTTGAAGTTCCTGAAGCCATCTTGCAATTTTTGCCCTTGCCGTTCCTACCGCAGCTCTGTATCCAATACCAGCAACTTCGGGACTAACTGATGGCTCCACAAATTCATGCTTTAAAGCCATAAGTTTCTGGCGAATTTTTTTGACCCTTCGCTTCAGCGAATGTTGTGATTGCGTATTGCCTGTTAGAAGAGCACAGCTTCCTGAATTACTGGTGCCGTTAGCTTGCCAATCTTCACCATTATTGTTTGGTGTAGATCTACCCTGATTGTCCTTATTCAAGGACCGACGAAAGAAAGGTGAAGTTTGATCCCTGAAATCCATAGAAGCTCTTTCCCTTATTTGCTCCAAATAAAACTTGCGACGCTGTTCGCTTTCACTAAGTCTTTCAGCCAATTTCTGGGCCAAGAGTTCAGCTTCCTCCTGTTGAGCTTTAGCCCTAACCTCTTTTCTTCGCATCTGTTCCATGGCCTTTGCTTCACGTGCCGCACTAGATGCTTTACGTTCTTCTTCCCTTCTTACTTGTGCCTCTTCCTTTTTCCGTTGTATGTCTGCAATACGTTGCATTTTTTCTGCCTCAAGAAGCTTCTTGCGCTCTAAAACAGCTTCTTCCCTTGCCATATCTTCTTTTTGTTTAGTTTTCAGCAATTGAAGCTTCTCAGCCCTTCTCAACTCTGAATCATGTAACTTTTGACGCAGCATAAGCTTTTTATTTTCTTCATTCAATGAAGTAATGAAGCGCACCTCATTAACTTTACTACTCTCATCATTAGCTCTTCTCACTACTTGAGCAAGAAAAGCTTCATGCCTGGATTCACCGCGCTGGTGGCGGGCATACATTACCTCTCTTAACTTCATGTTACGTTCAGCCTGGTACTCATTGACACGATTCAGTTTTTCCGAGGTCCGCTGAAGCCTTTGAACTCTCTCGCTCTCAAGTTCATTTCGTATCCTCATAGCCCGTGCATGCTTCTCTTCTGCTTCTTTTTTCAGATCTAGAGCAGATTTTTTCTTTTTGTCAGGAGACATAAGTTTATCGTGCAATACCCGTGCCCTCTCAGCGCTTTTCCTGCTCATACCAGGTGAATGTGAGAAACGCGAAGAAACGCGATGTGGAGGTCCAAGTATGTCTTCCCAGTTCCTCTTTTCCTTCCATGCATCCATGGATTTCCATAAATTTCCATTTCTCTTTTCCTTCTCCCTTTCAGACAAAGGAATTTGCTTTTTCAGGGTATCAACAGATTTTGAATTTTTATCAGTCATAGATTCTGAGGGCTTCTTGTCTTTCTTAGGAAGTACTTGATCAATTTCACAGGGAGCTCCAATAAGCTCCCGCTTGTTCTTTCCACTGCCTGCACAAGCAGAATCTCCTTTAACAGGCAACCTAGACCCGCTAGAATTACACCTATTTGAGTCGATAGTTCTTTTTTCTTTACTTGAGTTCCCTCTTGAAAGATCAGAAGCTCCATGCCGCTTTCTTGGCTTCAGAACTGATTCTTCAACATTACTTCTGGTGTCAATTTCACCATTATCCCCCTCCATGATATCTCTGCATCTGTAATAGCCACTATCACAATCAGGTTTCACTTTTTCAGCATTGCCAACACGTGCACTAGCTCTTTCTTGCTGAATTTTCCTGAATGCCTCAAGAGAAGAAGAAAGTATCTCTGCCCTCCTTGGGGAAGTTGTCATTCGACGTACCTGAAGACTAATTTCAATAAAATTAGATCAATACCAAAAAATAGAAAAAACACATCAACAATCTTGATAAAACTCCACCAGAGCTAATCCATTAAATTCTTAAGAATTTTCTAGTAATTGTTACATTAAATGCAATATGGAACTATCTTGAGGTGACAAATGCAATGCCATGAATTAGTTCTGCTGTGATAATGGTGGCCAAATTCATAACAGAAGTTATTTGCAGTGCTCAAAGATATAGTCAAGTTGTCTCAAAATCTCAATAATTGCATGCTTGGTGACTACTACTCATTCACTACCAAAAGACTGTCCAATGGAATCACAATAAGGAAATCTATATACAGAATCAACAAACACACATACAGAGAGAGAGAGACTTAGACTAGTTACTAACAGACCAGAAAGGGAAGATTTAAGGTTCTTTACCCTGTAACATCATCCAAGAGGATTTCCAGTATGTAGCATGTTGGAACACTTGAGAGCATAAAAGACACAGCAAACTAAGTTATAGTTAAAAGCATGAACACAAGTTTACAATATGAGACCCTTAAAAGTTTTTAATTGCGACTGTCCCTCATGTACAATTGACTTGATGTTGGGAAAAAGAACAAAGAAAAGAAGAGTTCTGACCTCCCATGAAAGCGCATGTGGCCTGCGATGATCAGACTTCATATTTAATGGTGCCCCATCAAGTATATGAGATGAGGATTTCTTTACTTTCTCAAATTCCTCCACCCTAGAGTTCAGTTCTCTAAAATCAGATGCGGCTTCCTCAAGAACAAGAATGGCCTCTTTCATCTGCTCCAAATCACACTCTAATTCACAAAGAAGATAGAGTTCATCTATGGCCCTATTAAGATTCTCAAAGAGAAAGCACCAAAGGCGTTCCCTGAACCGTTCTTTGCTTTCATCTCCATTTGCATCAGAAAAGTCCATGATTTCAGTTTTATCTAAGTCAACAAGAACACCATCAACTGTTGGAGACTCTGAGTTTCCAAAAGAGCTTAGAGCAATAGATTCTGCAGTTGTTTCAGGCTGAGTATTTTCAAATGATGTTGTCTGTGAATATTCATGAGATACCATGTCCGGCATGATGTCAATAACACTATCTTCAGAAACATTAGAACAACCTGCTTCCTGTGTGACACCAAGTGCAGGACTCATGAGAGCCTCTTCAGTATGTGAACACCAATTCTTATCTGCAGAGAGACTTTGAGTGGTGAACATTCCAGCACCACCCACTCTCAGTGAAGTAGAATCCAGCAAAGTCACTAACAATTTTGAACTCACATCAACAAGAGGTAGTTCAGTAACTTTAGAACATCCAGCTTCATGTCCAACAGCAGGTGTCAAATGCACGTCAGTTGCAACAGATGAATGATTTTCATTTGACTGAAAATGGGTATCAAGACTTTTCACCAGCTTAAGTCCAGTGTTATCCCTGGAATCTGGGGCGGAACCATTTGGGTCGATTACACTTTCAGTATTTAATAACGATCTCACATCTTCTGAAGTCACTTTCAATTCATTCACCTCTTTACAGTTGTTTCCCAGAGACTTTGTCCTAGGCAACAATGCATCAGGTGCCACAACAAGATGATTTTCATCTAAATTTTTTGCGACAAGATTATTTTCCTTCTGATCAGAAGAAGAGCATGGCATGGAATTATCAACTTTCTGAAATTCTGCACGATCTATTGTTAGACATTCAGTCCTACCAAACTTCATCTCAGATCCAACAGCCTTTTCCTGGTGCAAGAGCAAAGCTTTTTCATCCAAATCTCCCCACTTGATTTTTGGAAGAACATCAGAATTCCTTGTCAGAGAATCATTACAATCAGCTCCTTGAGACCGCCTCTGAACAACTCCAGCTTTAAGACAAGAATTTTTGTCCCTTAAACCTACCAAGAGCAGTGAAGTCACAAACTATTATCACAAAAGAAATGCAGTTTCGATTGTATCGCATATATGACCTCCATCTATAACACATTAGTAGAATCAATAGCATACCTGGGTCAACAATAAAATTATCTGTACTTGCTTTTGAAGACTGGCCACCATTTCTACGATTGTCAAATTTTACCTTCAATGAATGACCCTCTGGATTATGAGAACTTTGTTTGGCAGAGAGTCCTCCAACCCAACCATGTACAGAGAACTTTGAACTGCCTCTATGCTTCTGCACACAATATCATATATTATTAAGAAAAAGACAAAATCATGCCCTAAGGAGATTTCCAATATCTACTGATCTCAGCTCCTCAAGTGGGTGGTTCACAATGAGAAACCATAGAAGAATACAATCATGCCTAGCAAACTTGTAAAATTTAGGAACAAAAGGAACCAAAATATCCAATAGCATCTTGTCATACGACTAGCAGGCCAGTGCTTGCCCTTGTTTCATTAAAAGGAAAAGTAATAGAAATGGAGAGGAATAAATACAAAGAACAACCACCTAAAATGAACAAAAGTAGAAGAAAGGATTCTTCTACAAAGAACAGGAAGAAATGGACTGGAAGAAGTACAAAGACCAACCACCGAAAATGAACAAAAGTAGAAGAATTCTTTATTCAACAAACATGGTAAGAAACTGTGTACCAAGCATGACCCAATGCATCTCACATTAGATGTGAAAGGAAGGAACTTAGACCATAAAACGCCAAATTTTACATTTCATTCCCAATTTTTTTTTTATATTCAATGTTAATACAGCAGATTTAGAATTCCAACACATAATTTCAGCACTTTCGAGGTGCAAGTTAACTGAAGCTAGTTATCTGAGGAGCCTAAACATGTTTGGATTTAGTAGCTGCTAACAAGGTCTGCATCTGACTACAAAAGACAGATTCAATAATCAGAAACATCAAATTAAGCAGAATAATATAGGCATCTAAATTTTGTAGAGGCAAAAGGCTGGTACAATTCTATGCTGAATAGCTCTTTACACCTCATAGTCAATTGGAACTTGTTGATATTTATCAGGGGCAAGAAATGAAGTAAACCATTGCAAATATTAGAATAAATCCATGTTATGAGAACAATTAGATCATAGGATCCTATTTTGTCAACATAGATAATCAGCAAAATATCAGCACTTTGTTTGGGCTTCTAAAATTTAAGTAAATTTTGAGTATAAAGCTTATGTTTTAAGAGTATTGTTTGAACTAGATAATTATACGTAAACCTAGCATTGAGTAATTCATTTTATCTACTCCATCATATATGAAGAGTTTATCTCCACATACAGAGAAAGACTGTATCTTAGAAACATTCGAGAAAAAAGGATCATACTCCCAGTCTATTTCTTCTAGACATTTGAAGAATTCCACCCCTAGCATTCTGCAATTATGACGGGAAGCGCCCTACATTCCTGATTTTGTTCCACTTCGTGATAATCTGCTATCTAGGTAAGATTGGAATAACTTTATAAACTAGTGCACAAACATGAAAGCTCCACGGGCTTACAATAACTAAACAACCATGATAAACTTTAGATTAGCTTTTAAAGCTGCAAGCCAAACAGAAGGTAATATTAAGACTAATTTATTTGTCTAACTCAAGGCCAAAAAAAAAAAAAAGAATCTTGGGCTCACAATTTCTGTTTCTTTTACCAGCATATTATTCCCACCAGACATGCCGCATAACATAACATTATTCAGAGATAGCTGCAAAATGTGAGAATAGAATCCTTTCTAGATTGAGAGTCAAAAACTGGAGTATCCAGCCAGATCCTGTACAAATTTTTGAAGTGAAGCAGGTGCATTCCATTCCAGTGGAAGCAAAAAGAATTCTTTTTCATAAACGGTTTACGGTCAAACGTATCACCATCCCAGATGTGATTTCTAACATCAAAACTTCAACTTTCCCATAGGCTAAACAACAATAAACTATCCTCATTCCCTCTCCTCCCTCCTATGTACTGAAGTAATCATCCAAGACAAAGAAACTATTACAATATCATCTAATTATATCTAAACACTTAAGATATCTCATTTGATAAGTCTTGCTTCAGAAAGCTTCCTGTATTACCCAGAAAATACACTACCTACTTTTTCAGAAAGACTGGAGTAATTCTTCTAAATGCATATGATCGATTGTTTAAGTGTATTTCCAAAGCCATTCCCTATTAATCCTTCGGCAAAATATAGTGAAATATAATATATTTCAATCCAAAAAAGTACAATTATAATGTTCTTGATTATTCAGAAAAGCGTATGAAAAAAAAAATCAAACCTTTTTAACTTGCAACCATCCAGAACCTTGATCATCCCCTCCTTCGCTGCTCTCCATAAAAAATCTCTAAATTACAGCAACAACAGAAAACCCAAAACGGAGAAAAAAAAAATTTCCCTCTCACCAAAACATCATAAAAAGTACAGTACATTACATGGAAGTCAAATTATTCCTTCCTAAAGCAATCCAAAAAATTAAAATTAAAGAAATCAATCTGGTGGCATTTTACACAGTTTACAACAATTCGATGATCACAATTACAATAAAATGATGATCGGACAAATGGGTTTTAAAGAACAAGCTGTGAATTTGAACACATGGGAGGTTTTTCCCAGAAAAATCTTGGGATTACATGTTTTAAAGGGTGGGACTTTTAATTGGATTTTGTGAATAAATTTGCAGAAACTTTTTAAAAGGGTATAACCGAAACATTTTCTGGGCTATGTAGAGGTAAGAATAAGTGAGGCAAAAGGGTGAAAGAAAAAGAGAACGTGATGAGAATGATAAGTGCAAAATTTCCAATGATGGGAGACTGAGGAAAGGAGGAGTGGGAGGGAGAAAAGTAGAGAATGATTTTATCTGACAGATATGTCCTCACCTTTCAGAATTAATAACATTTGGTGTCCAAATGTGCATCAGATTTGTGATGCTGATTGAGCCCATCACGCACCTAGAGCTGAAAAACAACAAAAACAAAAGATATGTATACACGCACACGCACATATCTGTCATATTATTTCCACAAATTAATTTGGATTATCTTTCAATTTCATCATGGGTTCCGGTTCTGGTATCAGAGCCAGATGCCGTCTTATTGTTTTCTTCAAAATTAATATTCTAGCTTTGATTAATCTGTGTCTTGTTTTTATTTTCGAAAAAATTAATTATTATATAACCTATTTATCCTAAACTATTAGGGAGAGGGAGTCTAAAGAGGATTTGTGTTAGGGGCTAGTAGGTAGCCAGACCTTACTAGATCGAGGGAGTGTTATGGCACAACTTTTGAATTTTTTTTTGCTGCAGATGGAATTTGAATCCCCACCTATAGTCCAAGAAGGGTTTTAAGACTCACCTCGATGGCCACTCAGCTGAGCTCGGTGGTTGATTAATCTGTGTCTTGTCTAGAGCTAAGTTTGTGTTAGAGTTGGTTAGTCCGATAGTCGTTAGTTAGCGGTAATAGGATTATATAACGATGGTTCCGATGGTGGTCCCGGTAATATAAATTTAAGTCAACTTAAATAGAATTTCATGGCTAGTCTATTAACAAGAATTAGGAAGATCAGGTAATGAAATCAGTAATTAAACCTTAGGGAAATGGAAGAAAATCAAATATAATCAGTAATATAGAAAAAAATATAGAAAAAAATTGAGCAAAAGCTTAATAATTGCACTATTCCAGATTTAAAAATACACAAGTATATCGAAAATGAACTTTAGAATTTTTCAAAGATTATTCAATAAAATTAACTGAACAAACTATTTCTCTTAAAAGAAATCTTGAAGTTATTAGATTATTAAATAAAGAAACAATTGTTAATCATTCTACCAAATATAGATTTTTACATATAGGAATGGTTCAAGTTGCAGTTAAACCTTTACATCAATTAGGATTAGATTCTCCAATTTTATTTTGTTTAAATGATGCAAGACATATTTCTTTCCAAAATTCGTTATTAGGGTTAGTTGAATCAAACTTAGAAACTAGTCCTGTTTATTTCAATTGTTATTCAAATTTTACTGTAGATTTATTAGATCCAAACATTTTAGCTTCCTTAACTTTAAATGTTCAAACTAAAAATATAGAATTTTTAGAAGATTGAAGATCGTTAGCTATTATTTACAAAATTGATTACAAAGTCATGAAAACAACCATTAATCCAAAAGCTCTAAATATGCAAGTTCAAGGAGAAACTATGTTATTAGAAGCAAATCTAGAACATTCTAATACTTTTATTCCAAAGAGATTATCTTTGGAATCTATTACAAATAGTTCTAAATGGAATTTAGAAAATATAATCACTGCTAAATAGGTAGAAAGAGAAAACAGTAGTGTTGGTAATATTATAGAGTTACCTGACTAAACAGTAGAAATAGAGTTTTCAAAGAAAAAAGTGTTTTCTATTTCAAGACCTTCTACTTCCTCTATTAATACTAAATTAAATTTAGAAGAAGTTGATTTTAGATAAAATATTTCAAAAACAAAATATAAACAAGAAGATGAAGAATCTGAGTATTCTCTTGTACAATCTCAAATGCATGTTGATAGTCAACTCAATGTTATTTCAAAAGAGTTTGAATTAGATAAACAATACTTACAAAGATTATACTCCTCGGATAAAAATAAAGAGAAAAGAAAATAGTATTTTAAAATGTTTTCTAAAGAAAAAACAAAGCAGTGTAAAAAAGACTACTTTCAGGAATTAATCAAACTTGAAACTCATTTAGATTTTGTTTAAATGGTTTGAATTTTATTGCCAAAGAAATAAAATTGAAAATCCATTTTTGTGATGACCGCACCTTCCCTAGAGTGTACCCCGAGGTTTGGCGGACTACTTGCCTAACTCTCGTCAGGACTCACTCATAAACTCCAAAAGTAAGAACAACGACCTCAATAACAAAAGCAGTAGCAATATCCAAACTTAATTATATATATATGTACATATATATATTCATTGACACGAATATCCATACAAACCCAGAAGGTAATAAAAGATTCAAGTTCAAGTCGAAATCAACAAAATTAAGAAGTACACTAGAACAATTGACAAAAGATCTAGACAAAACTCCAGTCTTTTCCAACTCACATGCCCACGTTCTCACCCCCTGTAAGAAAAACAAACTAATGGAATAAACTATTACCCAATGAGGTTCTAAGAAAACATGCAGGCAAAAGTGGCAAGAGATCCTCAACATGAAGAAAGTAAACGCCAACAAGGCACGTCATTAGCAAGACAAGAAAATAACAAGTAACACTTTCAAGTAAAAGGATACAATTTTGCTTACATGCATCAATTCACTGGTATTTTGTCTCAAATCCGTTGACACTCCATCAACCTTGAAAATACAGTAATAAACAATGTCTGTAGATTATCATTTAACTCCAGTTTTCATCCACCGATCATCGTTCTTACTGGATCCGAACTCCAAATATAATAATAAGGGTAATACTCAAGTATACTGAATCTAGTGGATCGAATCTAGCAGAATAAATAATAAACACTATCCATGGTTCATCAATCCCCTCGACTAAGCTCTTACTGGCTCGATTCGACTGACTAACTGATGGGGTTTGGGATCCCAAACACTTCATATAGACGGTGGGATAACATACCCAACTGACTTTCAAATCAAGCACATCAATATCATTTCACTTGTAAACAGTATCAAGTTCGGGTGAGTGTGATAAAGTACACACTCACTCAACCAATAACAAGTAAAGCAAACTTAACAAGTCAACCAGTCAATCAATTCAAGATAGCATGTCAAGTATGCACAATCTCGTCAAATCACACGTCAATCAAGTATCAAGTCCTACCATGCAGTTAGAACACTCACCAACTGATCAAGGTTTATTAATGTGAAACTCAGACTCTGTTTCTTGGTCACTCTTGAAGTCTACAATTAGATATAGTATAGCAAGAAACCATCAAACTTCCAACATAGCTTTTCAAAACAATTACATCTTGTACTTGTGAAAATCAAAGGAAAAATCACGTAAATGGTAGCTCAATGATTCAAGCATAGTATGGAGGAAAACTATGTTAAGTATAGGCACAAATTTTTGAAGAAAAGCGACAAGATTCTCAGATTTCAAAGCTAAAAATTACCAAACAATGAAATGGTTTGGAGAAAATTCATTTTCTTCCTCTTAAACCCCTTTGTTTTAGCTCAAATCCAACATATATGAGAAGATCATGGTTTTATCAAGTGTCCTGAGGAAAAGTATGTCAAAATCACCCTAAATTTACACCTTAAACTCTCCCTCTCTCACTTGGCGAACAAGGAAAAATTTTGCAGCAACTTGTCCCCAAGTTCCTCTAGTTAACCCTTCAACTTTTAACCTTATTTCCATGGCAAATACACTATCAATCAAGCTAATATGTCATGAGGTGTATGGTACCTACTTTTGGCAAGAAATCCATCAAAATTTCACATATATAAAACTATAACCTAAGCTAAATCTAGTATACACCACAACTGGAAAATTCACAACATAACTTGATAAACATGAAAGCCTCCATAAAAGTCCTTCCTTAAACTTCTATAACATTATACATCAACTAAATTCAAAGATAAGGGAAGAACAATAGATTTTGTAGCAAATTTTACCTCTTTACCTCCAAAACCTAGTATGAAAAGCAAATCAAGAAAGTTGCAAAACTTCCATCCTCCAAGAACTTCTCCAAGAGCTTCCTTCCAAATTTGCCTCAAGGATTTATGGAGTGGATTAGGATTTCTATCTTGTTTGCTCACTAAGTAGACAAGAACTCAAGGTTAGAAGTTGGTTTTTTTCTTCTCCCTTTCTCTCTCAATATTTCAGCCAAGGCTAAGCAAGAATGAAGAGAAATTTTAGTGAAATGGAAGCTTAATAGTGAAATAAAGTTGTCTTGATTTTGGTCAAAGTTTGAAAGATGATTGACAAATGGCAACCAAACAACTAATGTCTATTTATATTCCTAAATATCTCTCTTCATCCAATTACCTTTTAACACCTCTATTCCAACAATTCCCTTTTACACAAAACTCTCTCTAATCTATCAAATTTATAGCACACACCTCACTAGTTGGTCACACTAGTATAATGCTCTACAAAACTCAACTTGCACCAAGTTAATTAAGGCAAAAGGATAAAATCATGACTCAACATGCACTATAAAAAGCATGACTCAACCATTAAATCAACCAAGAAGTTACGACAAGTAAGTTAAAAATAAAAGGCAATATGAAAATAAATTTTGAGTCCTCACAATTTTCAGAATATATTATATATCCAGTATTTATATAAAAGTTGGCAAACTAGTTTTGGAAGTTCCGTCACATAGGTTCACTCTCTTTTAGAAGAAATAAAAATACAACATAGAAATCAAACTATTATAGCTTCTCCATTTAAAAATACTTCTAAAGAAAAACTATGCCAACAAATAAAGATATAAATAAAATAATTCAACAAAATAATTATAATAATCAAGCTCTAGATACTATAGTTAATCAATTAGAAAAATTAAATAATATAAAACCTATAATACTAATGAGTAAGCCCCCATAGGTAGATCCTTCTAAACCATTTTTCAAACCTTTTGGGTTACCCAATACTATCAAATTGAATAATGATTCTAATTAAATAAAACAAATTTTAGATAAATTAGCTAATTTAGAAATAAATGGATCAAATAATTCAAAACAAATTTTGTTATATCTCAACCCGAAGATTCTAATTCTAATGAACTTTTCCCAATTTCAAAATAATACTCAAATTAATAAATTAGATATTCCTGACCTAATTTTTTTCCATTCAAGGCGTATCATGGTAGAATTTTTTATCCAAGACCTTCTTTTCCAAACATGCAATTTAAAGAAACTCATCTACATCAAAGTTATTATTATTCAGGGGA